ACAGAGACCCCACCTCGGGCCCCAAGGACACCCACAGGTCTCCTGGACCCCAGGGCTAGCCCCATTTGCACAGTGGAGGGCTCCCTTCCCTGTTGCTGTGCCTTGCTCACTTCCTGCCCTGGGTAAATGACCTCCTGGGCTGCGTCGTGCTCAGTGGCACAGGCCAGTGCAGTTCATAGGGCCTGTGGGCTCCTCGGCCATCCCAACTGCATCCAAACCCCGCCTTCAGCCCTGTGTTTGGGGACTCGCTGGTCCTTCCAAGGGAGGGTCTGAGGCCTCCAAGGCTGCCTGCCCTCTGGCGAGGAAGCGGCACAGCCCTGGCACAGTCCTGGCCTAGAGCCCAGGCACCCTCCCCGTGGGCTCTTTCCACAGACACAGTTGGCGCCTCCTGCAGGCGAGCAGAGACCAAGGCGCTCTCCACGCCCTCAAAGAGCCAGAGGTAAGGCAGAAAGGTAAACATGCTTTTAATAAGGCGACAGGTGCCCTTGACTGCGGGCGGCGGAGGGCTGCTGGGCCCCCAGGAAGAGCGGCTGGCCACGGGAGGCCTTTGCCCGCGGCAGCACCAGCAGACCGCTTCCCCTGCGGGAGGGACAGGCAGGAGCACGGCGGCCCCCGGGTTTGGAACAAACATCTTTATTGCAGGAGGGACAGGCTGTGCGGCTCACCAGGCGAAGAGCGGCTTGCTGTCCTCCTTGGAGAGCTCGCACAGGCAGTTCAGCAGCAGCAGCGAGTCGCCCAGGAACTTGGGCGGCACGATGTCAATGACCAGCTTTCGCAGCGCGGCTGGACTGCTGTGCAGCGGGTTGGCGCGCAGGTCCGGCCGCTGCTTCAGGATGCCGTAGGTGTTAATGAGGAACTCGCTGAAGACCGGGTGCACCTCGCGGCTGTAGCCCAGCTTCTCCAGCCGGGCGGTCAGCGTCAGGTAGCGATGCGTCAGCTCCCTCAGCTTCTTCTCATCCACCGAGCCGTCCAGGGACTTGATGGAGGTCTGCAGACACAGGATGGTGGGGGCCACACCCCTGGTCAGGGCCACCTCCTGGCCCAGCAGTGTGGGACGGGGTAGGGCCGCCCGGGAAGCTTAATGTAGGAATCCAGGTCCCCACCCCTCCAGCACCTCCAAAAGACGAGCCACCAGGGCCCTGCTTGGACCAAGCACAGCCTGGTGCCCACAGCATCAGCCAGCCCCAGGATGTGCCAGGGTGCTGAGCACCCACTGGGTCAACCCCAGGATGCGCCTGTGTGACCCCACCCCCAGGTTAGCCCCAGGAAGCAACCAGGTGCTCCACCCGGGTCAGCCCCAGGACGCCCGGGTGCCCAGCCCCTGAGGCAGTCAGGACATACCTGCTTTATCTTCTCGGGGATGTTGGACACAGTGAAGCCATAGAGCCGCGTCACACCAGGGAACACATAGGCCAGGATGCGCCGGTCCAGCTGGAAGGCAATCTCTCCCACGATGCGGCCATCCTTCTCTGCACCCGCAAAGCTCTGGATCTCTGCATGAGGAGGGGGCCGGTGTGGCCAGGTCATAGCTGTCCCAAGGGATGTCCCCCCACCCTGCCTGCAGGGCAAGGGCAAACAGAGACCTAGGGCAGAGGGAGCCGTCCCTCCCACCTGCCCTCCGAAGTCCCTTGGTGGCCAGGCGCTGTGGCCCACTCCTCTGCCAGAGGCATGTGAATCGCCTCATTAGCTGAGTGAGCCCAGCCTGCTACTGTGAGGGCAGTTCCCGGGGTCTGCCTGCCCGGGGTCTGCCTGCCCCGCACAGTGCTGTCCCTGGTGGACCTGGATGCCGCCCTGCATCCAGTAGGCACTAGGGTGATTGCTGGGCGTGTGCCCTGGCCTGAGGACAGTGGGGAGCAGTGGCCCCACAGCTGAGGGAAGGGGGAGACTCTGGAGTACGGGCCAGTCCACGTCTGCTCGATGACAAGCAGGCTCTTTCCAACCACGGTGCAGGAGACTACTGGGCAGGCAGGAGACCCTGTCCATCATTCCCTGACACCACTTGGAAAACTTCCCCACAAAAAAGCTGCTCTCAAATGCTCCTCAGGCAGCCACCGACGCCCCTGGCGGCACTGGCTATCTGTCCAATGCAGGCCAAGACCCTTCAGGACAGCGGGCTTTTTGAGAATGAGTGGCACCTGAGCTTGACGTCACCGTGAGAGCCCTCCTGAGAGTGTCTGAGACACTCCCTCCATTTGGAGACCCCCTCTCTGCACCGTCCCTGAGGTGCAAGGAGCGAGCTTGCGCAGAGCCGCTCCCTCGCTGTGCCACTGGGACTCCCCCTGGCGCCACGCGCTGGCACACCCACATGCACAGCCTCCTGAAGCCCCTGAATCCTCCAGACAGTTTGTGGTAGGAACCCTCCACGGAGCTGCCGGCTGGGCGGGGCCTGCTGACCTGGGCAGAGAGCAGGTACAGGTCCTGTGCCCACCTGACACAGCTCAGCACACAGTGCCCCAGGCCTGACCTGCCCTGTCTGGCCTCGGGGTGTTGGGGGCACTCCAAACCAGCCATGGAGATCCAGGACCTCCTCGCCACCACGGGAGCGTGAGGGGCCAAGACCAGGACCATCTCTTGCAGGACCTGGGCCTGCTGCTCACCCCGGACAGACGTAGGCCCACCAGGGGCCAAGGCCTGTGCCAGGGCCAGATTCACAATGACGGACAGCTGTGTCAGGCAGGTGAGCCTGGGTAGCTGGGCCGCGAACTTGGCTGCTGTCAAGGGGCATGGGACCACACAGGAGGAAGCTTCCACAGGGGGAGGTGGGACCCCCACCCTGGGCCTGTAGCAGAGGTGACCAGGCACACAAGAGGCCAGGCCAGTGCTGTCCAGGGACACTGTGTCAACTTCTTTGACCCTTGCAGGACCAGTCCCTCCCAAGGCAAGCATCTACACCATGTGGCCCAAAGTGTGCTCTGTGGAACACTGGGCCTGCCCGGGAGGTGCAGAAAGGTTGTGTGCGGCCAGGGTCAGCATGACCTGCCCTGCTCCCCTGCATAAGCTGCTAGAATGTGACACAGACTTCGCCTCCCCAGCCAGACACAGCAGGGCCCACCCCTGGGCCTCCTCTATGACCGGGGCTCCTCTGGCCGAGGAGGAAGAGGCCTCTGGGTGGGCAGCTGTGACAGGGCAGGAGCCAGGCTGGGGCCGGAAGATACAGGCTGCATCTGCGCCCTCCCTTGGCAGCACTTTCCGGCCTTTATAATGTGATTTGCCCACATGAAGGTCCTTTAGGGCGATCCTGAGACAGCTGCAGGAACTGAGTCCAGGGCACCTGCTACAACATTTTCATCTCCTAAGAACAAATCCTGTGCCTGATAACAACTACTCCCGCAGCCCTGGCGACCAGTGCTTGGCTTTGCCTCCCTGTGGGTCCCCCTGTTCTGCACGTTCCACATGACTTGTGGCCTTTCGACCTGGCTTCACACGCTCAGCATGGTATTCCGAGGTCCATCCTCTGTTGTAGTGCATGCCAGTGCTTCACTCCTGTTTATGGCTGAGTAGTATTCCATCATGGAGCTAGACCATACAGTTTATCTGCACCCTGGCCAGTGCGTGGGCATCTGGGCTCTTCCCACTCTGGCTAATCTGAGCATGGCTGCATGAGCATTCAAGTAAAGGCTCTCAGGTGGATGTGCGCCTTCCACTCCTGTGGGTGCACACCAAGGAACGGGGTCGTGCCATGTGGGAACACTGGGTTCAGCCTTGTGAGGACTGCGAGCTGTTTTCTCAGGGGCTTCCCCCTGGCATTCCCACCAGAGTGTATGTCCCAATTCCATTTCCCCGCCCAGGCCACTGCAGTGAAAGGCAGCTCACACAGGTCTCCCTGTATTGCGCTGATGGCCACAGACCCTGTGCACCTCTTCACCTGCCTGCTGGTCATCTGCACATCTTCTTTGGAGGGTTGTCCACCCACGCCCTTGGCTATTTTGACTAGATTACTTGTAAGAGCCCTTCCAAGAATGTGATTTTTTAAAAATTTTTTTAGTAGTAGATGGACACAAGACCTTTATTTTACTTATTTATTTTCAAGTGGTGCTGAGGATCGAACTCAGGGCCTCACACATGCTAGGCGAGTGCTCTACCACTGAGCTGCGACCCCAGCCCCCAAGAATGTGATTTGCAGATACTTTCTCCCACTCTCTAGGGTGATGCTTCATTGTTTTGAAGCTCTTCTTTGAAGCACAAAAGTGTTTACTCTGGGCGAAGTTGATGGAGTCCATCAGTCTCTCTGGTTGCCAGTGCTGTTGGTGTCATGCCTAAGCAGGCCCTGCCAGGCCCACACTACACAGACCTTGCTCTGGGCTTCCTTTGAGGGCCACGGCTCAGGATCCTGGAGCTCTCTTGGGCATCTGATGCGTTCTGAGTTGGGTTTTGTGCGAGGTGGGGTCCCACAGCTTCCTCTGCTGGCACAGGTCACCCAGCACCACTTGTTGAAGATGGTTCTTTCTCCACTGGGTTGCCTGGCACCCTTGTGGGACACCAACCACGAATGTCTGAGCTTATTTCGGGGCTCTAGATCCTTTTCCCCTGGTCTCTGTCTGTCCTTATGATGGGACCACACAACTTGATTGCTGTAGCCTGACAGGGAGTCTTGGAATCAAAAAGGTGAGTCTCCCAATTTTGTTCTCCTTTTTAAAATTGCTTTGCCCATTCTGGGTCCCTTGTATTTCCATGGGTTCAGCTTATCAAAATTTTGTAAAGAAGCCAGCTGGGACTTTGATAAGGATGGCATTAAATCTATAAATCCATGCAAGCTACTATGAAACAATATTAAGCCTTCTAATTCATGACCCAAGACTCACTGTCTACTTAGGTGTTTGATCACTTTTAACACTGCCTGTGGTTTTGGTGGACTTCTTTACGGAAACTGCGGACAGAGACTGCGCAGCGGCACACAGAGCAGGCGGGCGCAAGAGGGAGGTGACTCCCCATCCCAAGGAGCTGCGCTCAGGGGCCTCTGCTCGCCCCACCCCTCTGAAGCTTTAATCGGCAGATGAGACAGCTACATCTGAGACGCTCTAGAACTCCTCTCTATCCAAACTCGGCTCCCACCAGCCAGCCAAAACCTGTTCTTCAAAGAAGAAGGTCAACCCAACCAATGCACCTCTCGTCCCACACCAAAGCCACCACGTCAGGAGTGAGAGATCAGCAGCCCAAGCACATCTGCAGGGAGACGAGAAATGTTAGCAAGAACTTCAGGCCAAAAGCCCTGACAGCCTAGAGAAGACGGACCAGGTTCTTAGAAGACACAAACTACAGGCTGGGCATGATGGCCACACTGTGACCCCCAGAAGTCTGGGAGGCTAGGCAGGAGGGTCACAAGTTCAAGGCCAGCCTGAGCAACTTAGCAGGGACCTATCTCAAAATGAAAAGGGCTGGGGACGGGGTTCAGTGGCAGAGCACCTTGGCTCAATCCTCTGGCTCGAAAAGACAAACCACTGAAGCTCTCTCAAGAAGAACTAGACAATTGGAACAGCCATAGATCAATAAAATGGGACTTCTCAGGGGGAAAAATTCTTAGAGAAAATTCAAGGCTCAAGTGGTTTGATTGGTGAATTCTACGAGATATTTAAGGAGTAAGTACTACAAATTTGACACAAACTCTACCAAGACAATTAAAGAGGAGGAAAGTTTGCGTCTGGGTTGAGGCCGGCCGTCTGATACCAACTCAGAAAATGGCATTAACAGAAGACTGCAGCCCGACATTCCTCACGAGCACAGAGTCTTAACAGAATCTGGCAAACTGGATCTCATAGTACAAAAAGGTGGAACACACTGTGAGCAAATAGGATCCACCTCAAGAATGCATGGCCAGTTCACATCTGAACACAGGACCTGTGTAGCGCGTGTGGTGTACGACCAGGAGAAGGGGAGGTAGACTCCAAGAGTGAGGATATGTCGAAGTGTGCTCTGCCATCATGGATGACCACAAAGAACAGATGAAGAATCAAGAAGAAGAAAGGAATGATGGTTGGCTTAGCACTCAGCAAGCAGTGTGGTTCGCCATATGCTGGGGTGTGGGTGGTAGGCTGGTCTCGGGGCGGTGGGAGGTGCTCTGAGCGTAACAGTGAGCCCAGTGGTCATCCCTCAGCTCTCTGGGACCTGCCCTCCAGTGCAGATGGGACTGTCTCTGGCCAGCTGCTTCCTGGCTCCTGGGGCCACTTGCTCTGAGAAGGGCTCCTGCCATGGCCTGCTGCCTCACCAGAGGCTCACACCAGTGGTACCCCTGACCCTGGACTTAAACCTCCAGCACCATGAGCCAAAACAGACTCTCTTTACTTCATAAATACCCTGTGTGCCAGGTGTTTCATTATAGTGATGTGAAACTGACTGATACAGCATGTTCACCAACCGCAAAGGACAACCAAGTGCTCATCTCAATAGAGGCAGGAAAGCAACTGACAAAGTCCAACATACATTCCTGACAGATAAGCAAACTAGAACTCAGAGGGAACTTCTTCAGTACAATGAAGGGCAGCTACAGACACTCAGCTAGCACCAGGCTCACTGGCGAGAGGCTGAAAGCCCCACGTCAGGGAAGGCTGTCACCACTGTGTTGGCCACTGTCCAGCCCTGGTCTAGAGTAAGAGATGACAGGCACTGGGCTGGGGGCGTGCCTCAGGGGTCCAGGGCCTGCTGGGCCTGGGCAAAGCCTGGGTTCCGTCCCCAGCACCGAAAGGAAAAGGAAAAAAGAAAAAGGCACATACATTAGGAATTTTAAAAAGCTTGAAAATCTGTCTTCATTCACAACCCGATCATCTGTGTAGCTTTAAAATGCCACGGAGGAGGCTCCCGGGGAAGATGGCAGAATGGATGTGCCCTCTGCATAGCTCTGCAAGGGGCACAAACACGCTCAGGAGAAAAACAGCAGCTCCAGGGGGTGGGAGAGCGCAGACGCCAGGGACCCACCCAAAGCCACTAGAACAAACTAATGTTGTGCAGGATGTGAAGATTGAGCCAGAAAGATCAGACACGTCACTCAGAACTGCAAGTTTCCCCAGAGAAACAGACCCACAGGGCGTGCCCATGAAGAGGGATCTAGCTCACGGGACTGGCTCTCACATCCGAGGAGACGGTGAGCCCCAGATCAGCAAGCTGGAAACCCAGGAGACCTGAGGTGTGCGTTTGGCTCCTGCCCAAAGGCCAGCAGGCTGGACACCCAGGAAGAGTGACGTGCAGGGTCAGGACAGAGGCAGCCAGGTAGGAGTTCTCCCTGACTCTGGGGAAGGTCTGATCAGGGCTTCAACTCATGGGGTGAGGCCCACCCATGAAATCTCAACCTCCTACAAAGACACTCCCCACAGACACACCCAGAGTAAGGTCTGGCCAAATATTTGGGTTCCCATGGCCCAGTTAAGTTGGCTCATAACTATTGCAGAGTCGATACACAAAAATCCACTGTGCTACTGTATTCTAGAAACAGACACCAGAGGTTGATATGAGAAAGCAATACTACCTATAATGGCATCAAAAATCTGAAATACTCAGGGGTAAAATTGATGAATGTGTGCAAGACTTGTGGGGAGGAGGGAAGAAAAGGGAAGGTAGTAGCGAATGAAGCTGATCAAACTGTGTCATGTGCATGTACGAACATGGCACAAAGAACCCCACGACTGTGTTTAATCATAAAGTGACAAATAAAAGAAACAAATAAAAAATTTAAAAAACAATTTTTTAAAAATGTTCAAGACCTGTATGTAGAGAACCACAAAACACTGTGAGAACTGTTACAGACAGTGGAGTGATACACAGAGTCCACAGAAGATCCGTGCTGCAGAGGTGCCGTTTCTCTGAATCTTGAGCTGATTGACTTGTAGACTAGGGTCCCAGTCAGAGTCACAGCAGGCTTTTTGGTAGAAATGGACAAGCCGATTCTAAAATATGTCTGGAAACTCACAGGACTCGGGAGAGCCACAACACGTGAAGAAGAGGACAAAGTCGGAGAGCCTGCATGTCCTGCAGGATTCGCAGTCTTTAAAACGACAGGACTCCGATCCAGGAGGACACAGACGGGTGGACGGAGACGCATGCAGGGTGCGGGAACAGCCTCACGGGTGCACAGACACAGATTTTCGGCAAGGAACCAGGCGGTTCAGCCACAGGGCACTGCCCCTGAGCACTGGGGCTGCAGGAGTCGACGTTTATATGTAAACCCACACCCATGCAGAAATGACTCGGACTGATCAGGGGCCCGAGTGTAAAACCTACAGCTGGAAGATGGGACTTTCCAAAAGTATAAACTACACAATGTACAAACTATGGGGCTAGGATTGTGGCTCGGCGGTTCAACGCTTCCTCACACGTGTGAGGCCCTCATCCTCAGCACCACATAAAAACAATGGATAATGTAATTCTGCCACCTGTACACCAGGACAGAGGCAGCCAGGTAGGGGTTCTCCCTGACTCTGGGGAAGGTCTGATCAGGCCTTCGACTCACTGGGTGAGGGACGGAAGGTCAAGCAGGAACTCGACACCCTCAATGTGTACAGCACCCTGGGGAGCCCTGGGGAGCACTGGCACTGCAGCCCCTGCTCTGGCCCCTGCTGGCACTCCCCTGGTGACAGGTGGCACCTGCCTCAGCGGGTGAATGAGAAATTATATCCCATCTGATGCAAATGTATGGCATGTCAAGATCATTGTACTGTCATGTGTAATAATTAAAACAAAGAAAAAATCGAAAAATAAAGAAAATATAGTAGAAATTAAAATAACAACAGTTTTTCTTCCCCCAAACCTCATGGAAATAGAGGAGCCACTGACTGGGAGGCTGTGTCTGAAAACCATACCCCAATGGACCTGTATTTAGAATATTCAGTGAGCTCCCACAACCAGAAAGGCAAGCAACTCAGCTTTCCTGACAGGTGGGGACACAGCCCTGCTCTCTGGCCCGGCCAGCAACCCTCCGGCTCTGCGTGGCTGGAGAAGCTGTGAGCGGGTTGTCGCCTGGGCCACCTGCACGCGCCTCACCGTTGAGGTAGTAGCTCCGCCTGGTCCTGTCCCCGGTGGACAGGCTGCTCTCCGAGAAGCACACCTTCTTGGGTCGCACCATCTCCCTGGGCTCGAGCAGCGTCTTGTCCACCAGTGGGTCCTGCAGGGGGCTCAGGAGCGGAGACAGCTTCCTGTCGGGGCCCCGGGCGTGCAGCTCTGGCGCACCAATGAAGGCCTTGAAGGTCACCTGGGAGGAGGCTGCACAGCCCGGGGAGGCTTCGTCCTCGCTGGAGAGGGGGGCGTGCGAGCACAGCAGGTCCTCCAGGGAGGACGTCTGCATCTGGGAGGGTGTGTCGGGGACACTGCTGAACCTCCCGAAGTCTGAACCTGGGTGGAAGGAAAGGGACGGAAGGTCAAGCAGGAACTCGACACCCTCAATGTGTAGAGCACCCTGGGGAGCCCTGGGGAGCACTGGCACTGCAGCCCCTGCTCTGGCCCCTGCTGGCACTCCCCTGGTGACAGGTGGCACCTGCCTCAGCAGGCCTCACACTCAGGGCCACACACCTTTCTAATTTGTCACAAATGGTGTCATTCTGTGTGTTAATGTCTGAGAGCAGTCCATGATCAGCCACCTGCACACAGTGACTTCTGACCATGATTGTGAAGTCCCAGCTGTGGGAAGCCTCCCTGGACACACCTCCTCACCCACAGTGCACGCCCTCCCTGGTCAGCTCCTGGGCTCAGGTGAGAGGCATTTGACTTTCAAGCCCCATCTCCCAGGGGTCAAATTCAGCTTAACTCTTATTGCTTCTGAGGACCTTTGCTGCCTGCATTCTCCTAGCAATAAAGGAAAGGTGCACTTGACAAACTGTATTTTAAGAGTTATACCAAAAAAGTGTGTCTTAAAATGAGCATATTCAGGTACTGGCTATTTTACTCTCAAAAAATATTTTCCAAGGTAAAAAAAAAATGTTCAAAGGATGAAAATTCATCAAGATCCTGCTCCATCTTCCCAGAGGAGGCTGGTCAGAGCCCCTCCACAGACCCTCTTCACACTAAGAAAGGGTACCGTGTACATGCACCACCTGGAAATGTCAATACAAGGAGAGTTCCTCTGGGAGATGATTTTTAAATGATTTAATAAGAAGTAGAAAACAGGGGCTGGGGATGTGGCTCAAGTGGTAGAGTGCTCGCCTAGCATGCGTGAGGTACTGGGTTCGATTCTCAGTACCACATAAAAAAATAAAATAAAGATATTTTTAAAAAGATTAAAAAAAGAAGTAGAAAACATAAAGGGGCCAATAAACAAAGAAGAAATATCTAAATCTTATAAGTAAATAATTATAAATAATCATTCCCTGAAGGAATGCAGGCCCAGGCAGTCTGTGGTGGATTCTTTCAGGTTCCCCAGCAGTGTATAATCCCTATAGAAGCTGAGTTGGAACACTAAAAAAATAAAAAACGAAAGATGTGCAACTAAGGTTTAAAAAAAAATGTGGCACAATTCTGACATCAAGAAAATTTGTCAAAAATCTGAATCAAATTCCCACAAACATAATCCCCAGAAAGGAAAGTGGTCTAGGTTCACGTAGAGAGTACAGAAAACAGACTTGCAAAACATGTCCAAGGACATCCAGGGCAGTGGCAGCTCAGGGTCCTCTAGGGGAGAAGCCGAGGGCACCGTATCACCCAGAAACAGGCTCCCAGGACCACAGGAGCCGCTGCCTCTCAGCGGCTTGCGTTCTTCACAAATAAGGGCTGGGAGGCCTCTTCCCCTGCGCCCAACTGTGCCCACGCCCAAGCAGCTGGGGCCATCGGTCACTGCCCACAGGTGGCCAGGACAGTGCAGCAGCAGCCCCTCTGCCCCCAGGGAAGAAGCCCCATGAAAGTCACAGCCAGCCAGCATTCTGAGCAGTGAGGACAGACACCGAAACAAGGAGTCACTCGGAACAGCCATCTGCGCATCCTGGGGCTGTGGAAGGGGAGACCTGAGGCGGCAGACTGGAACCCAGAGGAGAGCACTCAGTGGAGAGCTGCAGATGGCAGACCATGTGGGTCCTGCAGCCTCCCAGGCCCCAGGTTTCCTGCCGCGCTCCACGGGGCTCTCCACAGGAGCCGTCATGCTGCAGAGGGCCTCTGGTGCTGTGCTTCAGGCTGCCACACACACCTCCTGTGAATCTAGTGGCAACAGCGCAGATGCAGTGTGAGAAAGACCGGAGACCAAGAACCAAACGGCTCTGTGTACCAACAGCATGTGAAGCCCTCCTGGGGTACTGAGAAGACACAGGTAGGAACACCATAAAAATGTACCCCAAGATTTACTTCTGCCTTCCAAACCATGATCCTGCTTGTAGAAACAGAAATCCTAAGAAAATAACCCTGATTTTTTAAGAAACACCTGTCTGCAGTGTTACCTTGGGGAAAAAAAAGAATTTTCATTTCAAAAAGAAGAGAGTTCATTCAGCTACGGCTCATCTGACTCTGCGGCCTGCACAGCCAGTTTAAAACACATTTGCAGCCCAGGAATGACCCTGTCTGAAGCTAAAGGGGTGCTAGAACTCACAGCCACTGAGCTC